TGTACCACCAAAGTACTGAAAGTTTTAAGGACTATGGGACTTTCAATATTGTACTGTTTTATATTATTATTAACATGAGATTGTAAGGACAAGAAATGAAGAAGGTATGGTTTAATAGTGATGTGTCTGTCAAGTTGACAAGGGGTCAACTGGACACACCTGGGAAGAGGGCCCCTCAATTGGGGAATTGTCTATTGGATTAGTCTGTGGGCATGTCTGTGAGGTATTTTCTTTACTGAGTGATGTGGGAGGGCCTAACCCACTGTGGGTGATGCCACCCCTGGGCAGGTGGTCCTGGACTAGAAAGCAGGCTGGACACAAGTCAGGGGGGCAAGCCAGTGAGCAGCATTCCTCCACGGTCTCTGCTTCGGCTTCTGCCTCGTGTTTCTGCCCTGGCTTCCCTCAGTGACAGACTGTGACCTGGGAGTTGTAAGGTGAAATAAACCCTTTCTTCCTCCAGCTGGTCTTGGTCATGGTACGTCTCACAGCACTGGAAACCTAACGAGGACAAGGACTCACTCTAAGAGGTACTCTACTGGGTCCTACCAGAGCAGAGCTATCGGAGCGGTGTCAGAACACATCAGCCTGGTCTGCATTCAGCACACTCAACTGAGCCATGAGTCAAAAAACATTAAATGAGCAAAAATGAGCTGCAAAGCACATCCAACAGCCACCAAACAGCTCGGGCTAAGAGCAAATGCACACTTCTTTTAAAGGAAATTCACTACTTAAATTTGAACAAAAGTCATTATTTTATTAGAGTCCCAAATCAGCCCAAGGGTGTAGGACATGCACCTGGAACCATGGACTCACAGTCTCAAAGCAGGAAATGGCAGCACGAGGAGGTGGACCTGCCGCCACCACACTCTAATTAGTTTTTCCCCAAAAAGGTGCCACGGACAGTCAGGCTTCCAGGCCTACACACCTGCTAAATGTCTCTTCTACTGATTTTTCAAGTTACATTTATTTTGTGCATATTATATGTGGGTACACATGTGCCATGGCACACGCCTGTGGAGGTCAGAGGACAACTTATGAGAGTCTGATTCCTACCACGTGGGTCCTGAGGATCTAACACAAGTCATTAGGCATACTGGCAAATGCTTTAATCCACTGAACAATCTTGCTGGCCCCCTCTGCTGATTTTTACAATGGTTTGGTCACATTTAGTTGGGTGCAAGGCCAACTCCATGGAGAGTCATTCATTTGCATTCTGTGTGAGTAAAACATTATGGAGTTGAGCAAAGCTTCTACTCCATCTAGATCAAAACATGAGCTTAGCGGGGTGTGATATGCACCTGTAATTCCAGTTCTAGGAAGGGATAAGGCATGAGGATCACAAGTTTGAAGCCCACTTGAGCAACAAGGCAAGACCCTGCTTCAACAAAAATCACTACAACATGAGTATCTGTAGTTTGACAAAATAACCTGTCTTTAGGAAATGCCTGGCAGGGAGCTGGTCCAACTTATGTAAAGCTGTTGTTAATTTATGACACAGTGATGGGACACAACTCTGTTAACAAGTGACTGCCTGCACTGGACATGTAGCCCAGGCTGGGTCAAACTCGATGTATAGCCGAGGATGACCTTGAACTTCTTGATCTTCCTGCCTCCACCTCCCAAATACTGGAATAACAGATGTGTTAAACCATGTTTGGTTTATGTGGTGCTGGAGATTTGAGTCCAGGGCTCCATGAACACTAGGCAAGCTCTCTACAATGAGGTACATCCCCAGTGAAGGGAACATCTTTTATTTATTTATTTTGGTTTTTTTGAGACAAGGTCTCCCTGTAGTCCCAGCTGGCCTGGAACTCGCTATGTAGACCAGGCTGACCTCGATCTCAGAAATCTGCCTGCCTCTGCCTCCTGAGTGCTGGGATTAAAGATGTTTGAGAACATTTTTTAATTATCTTCAGAAAAACTTTAAAGACAGATTTTTCCTGGGCGTGGTGTGCATGCCTTTATTTAACCCCAGCACTCAGGAGGCAGAGGTAGGCAGATCTCTGTGAGTTCAAGGCCACCCTGGTCTACATAGTGAGTTCCAGGCTAGCTGGAGCTAGAGGGAGACCCTATCTCAAAAAGACAAAAAAAAAAAAAAAAAAAAAAAAAAAAAGATTTGCATCCACTGGTTCCTCTTGTAACGTAGACAGTCAGGACACATCAGGTACAGAGTGCAATCCTGGAACAAGATGACCTACTCTGGCTTTGAGCCCACATTTATTAGGATCCTGTCCTCCCTCAAATAGTTGAATAAACACTTTAGTCTGCTAACCAGTCACTGACTTGGAAGAACCAGTCATGGTATTTGTTAAAATGCCCAGCTGTTTTCTAGAGCAGCAGGCCAGAATCAGATCACACTTCCACTGCCCTTCAGAATGGATGTAAATTTCCTATTCCTGCCAAAGATTAACTCACCTGACTTCCCATGTGGGAAAATTTTAAGTTTTATATACATCTTCAGAGATCCTTTTTAGATCTAATAATTCCACACTGAGGCATACCAGCAGTAATTGCTGAGTAACTTTGTTATGTAAGAAGCTGAAGCTCTGGGCTGAAGAAATGGCTCAGTGGTTAAGAGCACTGACTGCTCTTGCAGAGGACCCAGGTTCGATTCCCAGCACCCCTCCAGTTGCAGGGAATCTGACGCCCTCTTCTGACATCCGTGAGCACTGCAGGACTCCACTGCACTTACATGTAGGCAATACACTCATACACAAAAATAATAAAGCATATTTTTTTTTAAAAAAGCTGAAGCTCTCTGTACAAAGATGTTTCCAGATGCCTGAAGGGAAGCTCAGTAGCTTAAATGATAGAGCGTCACAACTGACTTACCAAATTCAAATCCCAGCAGGGTCAACTCAGGCTCTAGTAGAACTTGCTACATAAACTGAGCACAAGACAGCCTAGCACTCTGAGAAACTGAAAGCTTTTCAACTGTTGCTATTTATGAGGTCAGACAAGAGTGGGGAAAGTGGTGTCATCATTTAAACGAAGACGTAGCTGAGTTTCAGGCCTGAGTGCCCAGCAAGGGAGGCTGAGGAGGACCACAAGTCGAAGGCCTGTCTGGGGTACAGAGTGAGGGCAATTTAGTGAGAGCATCTCAAAATTTAAAAAATTCTGTGGTACAGGGCTTGCTTGGCCTGTGCACGACCCTGGGTTCAACAAAAGTCTTATTTCTGTTTATGTGGTGGTGGCATCTCATCTCTGCAGTGTGCTCTGGACAGAATGGAGAGACAAACTCCACTCTGCAAACACTCAAATGGGACCTCCTTTGGTAAGTGTTATCATGTGCATACAATGCCATTTCTAGTTCTATTCTTGCCCATTCCAACCTACTAAAACAAGACTAAAACTAGGATTTTCCTTAGTTTTTAAGGCCAACAAACCCTGGCGGAGAGCATGGACTCCCCCAGCTCAGAAGCAACACACCTGTCTCCAATAGGCCTACCACTGCTCCCATCAGCGGTGCATTCTCTCTTCAGAGCTGAGAACAGTACCCATCAGGCTTTCTCTAGGGTAACCCGGAGGTCTCCTACCCCACACCAGGTCGGTATTGGGCAGGCTAGCTTGAGAGAAGAGGAAAGTCTTAAAAACAATTTAAAATTCATTTTTCATCCAATCATAGGCCGCCTATAGACTGAGGATCTGAGCACTGTAGGCTAGTGTCTCTACTTGTTCCTGGACAGAGAAAGCCAACATGACTGTGATGACTGTGACATACCAGCACAGAGGAAAGTTACCTATCATGAGGCAGTGAGAAGCAAGGTTCAGGATCTTGTCCTGCAAAGGAGACCACTGTAAGGCACCAGTACTGTGAGAAGAGTGGTGGGATGGGAGCTGGGTGGCATGTCCATCCACTACCACCAGTGCATGGCTTTCAACTATTATATGGGCTGGCACCGAGGCAGTAATTCATCCTGTCAAATCTTAGGTGAACCCCAAATCTGGAAAGTGTTGGGGCTCCAATATAATGTCTACAGGAGCAACAGTGCTAACGTGAAAACCATCAGGGTGCCAAGTAGGGTCCCCTCCCTTAAAATACTGGAAAGACCACATCTTCAGGCACCCAGGTGAAGACTTCCCTCTGACAGCGAGTCCTGTCGCTTTCTGTTTGGAATCAAACAGACCAACTTTTAAAGCATCAGCGAACTTACACAGGCAGCGAAGATAAACATCACTCAGCAGAGGAAGTCTGAACAGCCAAGGCTAAATTGTCACCAAGTTTCAGGCATGGTACAAGGGCAAGTTCTGTTCTAGGCAACATGCCAGAAGCCACAGAGGTCCAATATTAATTCTCCCGGGAAGCACCAGTCCTCCTAAAAGCCATTTCACTCACAAAACGCACAACATTGCCAGATGGTAAAGTTACACGATCGGAACGAGTCCACCCCACTCTCCCCGGTAGAGGAAGAATAGCCGCCATAAGGAACTCTTGGGGACCACCCACTTAACACCACCCCTTCAATGTGCAAAGAGTTCTCCTAAAAATAAAACATCCTCGAGTTCCTTCCACTCCCCAAGTCGGAAGGCGATGCTTTCCAAGTCGTCAGCAGCCCGTACGGCGCGCGAGATGGATGCCCGCTGTGGACACCGAGTGCTCACCCGGAGCTGCCCAGACCCGAACCGGGCTCGGCCCGAGGTTGCAGCCGGGGCCGCCCGGCAGGAGTTCCAGGCGGACGCCCAGGCGGGGCTGCGGGCAGCTGGGGAGCCGGGCCGGGCCTCGAGGCGTCGGGCGCCCACCCCCGGCGTCGGCCAGGCGGCCTCTCCCGCGCGAGCCCCGCCGGCCGGTCGCGCCCGTACCTGCCGGACCCGGTGCAGGGCGTCCACGAAGCCCTCGGCCTTCATGCCCACAGGAGCGCTCTGCCCCTGCACCAGCTCCGCCATGGCCACCCCCGCCGCCGCCACCGCTCGGCTGCCCCCGGTCCGGCCTCCCGCTCTGCTCCGGGACCAGAAGCCGGAAAGGGAAAGTCGCCCGACTTCCGGCGGAAGCGCGCCCGTACCTGCCGGACCCGGTGCAGGGCGTCCACGAAGCCCTCGGCCTTCATGCCCACAGGAGCGCTCTGCCCCTGCACCAGCTCCGCCATGGCCACCCCCGCCGCCGCCACCGCTCGGCTGCCCCCGGTCCGGCCTCCCGCTCTGCTCCGGGACCAGAAGCCGGAAAGGGAAAGTCGCCCGACTTCCGGCGGAAGGGAAGGGAAGGGAAGGGAAGGGAAGGGAAGAGCAGGCAGGGCCCGCTCTGCGTTAGGCTAGGAGAGCCGCTTCTGCCAGGCTAGGTCTCGTGGCACGTGACTGCAGTCCATCCGGAAGTGGGGGCGTGGCCTCAGCGGGAGGGGCGGGCGCAGCGCGAGGGGCTTGCTGTCCATCAAGGCGGCCAGCTCGCGACCCCGCCCTTCGCTGGGGGCTTCTAGTCCCCACTCAGGTGTGGCTGCCAGGTGCCCGCCATCGGCTTTGGGGACCTGAGAGAGGAGAGATGAGGCTTTCCCAGGACGGCACCCCGAGCTGTCAGGGTACTCTGGGAATCCCTCCTTGAGATAGCCACCGGTCTGCAATATTGACCAGGACTGAGCACCTTGACATGCTACTAGGAGGCTCAGTACTCCAGAGTGGTAACGCTCGGTCTTTGCAGGGAGTCCCAGGCCGCAGGTCTGGCCGTCAGTTTGCTAGGGATGGGAAACACCGCTTCTCACTGGGGTTGCCTGGTGACACGGCTCCAGAAGGCCTCTCTCTTGCTGGAAAGCCAGCCTGGTGTCCTCTTTCACATTCTTTCTCTGGGGGAAACAGGAAATACCATAGGACCATCATTGCTTCCATGCCTGCTGAGGCTAGAGGCCTTCTCGGAATGTGCTTGAAAAAACTGTGCTTGTAGAACTAGGTACAGATTTCTCAAAGCAAAGAAAGGAATCTCAGTGGGAAATACACGTCTGCCTTCTGAGGGGGGTGCTCTTAGAGATGTGCGAACAGTCGCACCCCATGTGACCCAGGCGAGGTGGAGACAGGAGGTCATCTTGTGTTAGTGAGTTCTTGGCCAGCCTGGACTACATGAGACCTTGTCTTCAAAAGCTAAAACTTAGAAGCAAACAAAAGTTCCAGAAAAGTATCAGGGCTTAGTGGATTTGATGCATATATGGCAATTCCTGGTAGTTCCTAGTTGGCTGTGATTTTTAAAAAAATATTTTCGGTGTATGCGTGTATTGCCTGCACATATGTAAGTGCACCCATGTCGTGCACTGCCCGCAGAGGTTAGAAGAGGGCGTTGGATTCCCTGAAACTGGAGTTAGGGATGGTTGTTAGCTGCTATGTGGGTGCTGGGATTCAAACCTGGGTTCTCTGCAAGAATGTTCCAGTGCTCTTAACCACTGAGTCATCTCTCCAGCCCCAGGTTGTGATCCTTAGAGTAAAGCACTGTTGTCCTCCTGCCTTATAGTTCCCAAAGTCTGATCCCAAGAGTTTTAATAAAGAACCATGTTGTCCTGAATCGTCTTGAATTGTGCGTGTGTGTGTGTGTGTTATATGTTTGTGTTCATGTGGGTGTGTGCACGTGCATGAGGAATCCAGATGTCAATGTTAGGTGTCTTCCTCGGTTGCTCTTTACCTTAATTTTTGAGACAGGGTCTCTCACCGGTTCCTGGAGCTCATTAATTTCAGCAGGACTGCCAGCCAGTGAGCCTTAGGGATCTGCCTATCTCCATCCCCGCAGCTCTGGGGTTACGGACACTCTGCCAAAGTGCCACTTACATAAGTGGTGGGAATTGAATTCTGGTCCTTGGGCATACACAGCAGGCACTTTGCCACCTGAGCCATCTCCTGAGCCTTGTGTTTTGTTGTTGTTTTGTTGTTGATGAGACAGTCTCAGGTAGCCCAGGTTGGCTTCCATTCCTGATCCAACTGCCTCTTCCTCTTAAGTACTGGGATTGTAGGAATTTGTTACCCTGCGTGGCCCCATCTTAAATCCCTTATGAAGAAAGACAGGCACCAAGAAAACGGATACAACCTAGTATGATTTGGTGGCTAATTCCAAGGCAGGCAAGAGTAGCCTGGGACCCCACTTGTTTTGGATTATGTACACCCCCCTTTTCTAGTAAAAAGAAAAGTTATGCACTTGGCAGCCCAGCTCCTTAATCTTCACATTCTATGCACACACATCCCTTTTTGAACGAAGCACCTAGCAACTCAGGCCCCTACTGGCACTGGGCTGCATGTATACCCATCTCTGATTAATAGTATAGGTTTCCCTGCCTCTAACAAAATTAGACTGTGCGCTCTAGTAAATTCTTTAAGAATTCCCTATTTATAGTATTATGCCTATGTATAAATGAGTGTGCATGTGATTAAAATCAGATGCATTATGGGAAAGGACATTTACAGTAGGCAAAAAAAAAAAAAAAGATTATATGACCTAATCTGTCAATCAAAACAGAGGATCACCCTTACTACATCCCTTAATTACCAAACTCCTCCTCCTGTGGCCTCCATAAAAGGAATCCCAAACAACAACCAGGGCCTTGAGTATCTATACTTGGAAGTGCTTCGCCTAAATAAAGTTATTTTTTACTTCTGCAAATCCGTGTGAGCCATTGTTTTCAGTCTTTTGGATAAGAGGCCAAGAACCTGGAAACACTGACCCCAACCTACTGCAGCAGGTAACAGTTCTGCCCTCCCCTGCTGCCTCATGCCGTTGGAGTGTTGGGATTTGGAAAGCAGTATGAGGAAGAACTGGCCAGTAGTGGAATACAGATTATCAACTGGCCTGGAACTCGCTGTGTAGACCAGGCTGGCCTCCATCTCACAGAGGTCTGCCTGCCTCTGTCTCCCAAGTGCTGGGATGAAAGGCGTGTGCCACTATGCCCCGGCTCCTTTCTTTCATTTATTTATTTCTGTGTATGTGGAGATCAAAAGACAACTTTTGGGAGTCGGTTCTCTCCTTCCACCCCGTGGGGTCCAGGGATTGAACTCAAGCTTGGCAGTAAGCACTTTTACCCACTAAGCCACCTCACCAGCCCAGAAGCTCCCATTTTTCCTTGTATCCATAGAGTTTGGCATGTAGTAGGTGCTTAGGAAACTCTTTGAACTGAACAATGCTGAATCAGAATTAATTCCAAGATTATGGAAAAATAAAAAAATTTGGCCAAATTGCAAGATGGAAAACGATCACTTTCAGGGAAACCGTTTCAACCCATGTAGGGTCATGTATATGGGCAGTGTAGCCATTGCTAAGTGCCGTCTGGAAGCAGGAGCCAGCACATCTGGTGTGTCCAGTGTTTTCACCTTTCTCTGCTTGTGAACACCAAGGCCACAGCATCAGCCTTCAGGATAGAGATTATTCTACTGACCCCCATCAGTAATACTCTTGTTTTGCGTTCACTTTTTCAGCCGCCACTTCCTGTGAGTAGAAACAGAGTAAAACAATTAACTGCCACAAACACTGCATTCCAAGGTTTGGTCCCATGGTCACAGAATACCTAAGTAGGAAAGTAAGGTTCAGGTTCATCCTCTTTTTCTGGTTGAGTAACTCTAGCCTGATCAATTATCTCCCAGAGACCTAAAGGGGAAGATGACCCCAACCTGGCCAGGAATGCGGAATGTTCTACCATCCTGGGCTTTGTTACTTAACACTTATTCCATGCCTTTCTGCTGTGCTGCATTGCATGGTTGGCTTTCGATATTTGTTCAATGAGTGCATGTAAGTACTGTTGTCCAAAGAGGCTAGGGAAAGCTTCTCAGAGGTTAAATAAATCTAGAAGGGGAAGATGGTAGCACCCAGGTGTCATCTAGCACTCAGGAGATACAGACAGGAAGATAAGGAATTCAGGGTCATCCTCAGCTACACAGTGAGTTCCAGGCCAGCTGGAAACCCTGTGTCAAAATAATACTCCCCTTCCCTCCCAAATAAATAAAAACCCATGTACTGAGGTTGTGACTAGCTTTGCATATGAGACTGTCATCTAAATAAACTATTTCTCAAGCTGAAGAGAGGCTCAGTCAGTTTAAAAAAAAAAAAAAGAAGTGCCTCTTGCAGGAGCATGAGATCCTAAACTTAATTTCAGAGTCCACACAAAATGCCAGACATGGGGCTGGAGAGATGACTCAGTGGTTAAGAGTGCTGGCTGTGCTTGCAGAGGACCTAGGTTTGGTTCCCAGCACCTACATGATAGCTAACAACCCTCTGCAACTCCAGTTCCAGGGAATCTGATGCCCTCTTCCTGACTTCACTGGCACCAGGCATGCACATAGTGCGTGCAGGCAAAGACACTCAAATACATAAATAAAATAAATCTTTTTTTTTTTTTTTGAGAGCGAGAGAGAGGATATCACTAAGTAGCCTTAGTTGGCCTGGGACTCACTACATAGGCCAAGCTAGCCTCAAACTCACAGAGATCCACCTGCCTCTGCCTCCCCAATGCTGAGCATGGCAGTCAGTGCATGCTTGTAAACCCAGCACTGGGGAGGTGGAGACAGGAGGTTCCCTCTAACCAAATTGGGGTGCTCCAGTTTCAATGAGAGACCCTATCTCAAAAAAAAAAATAAGGTAGGTATCAATTGATAAAGATACTCAACATTGGCCTCTGGTTCCCACATGCATGAACACACATGCACAGGCCCCTATACAGATGTGTATACACGCATACCACACAAAGTAAGTAAATAAAGGAGCCATTCTCTGAGATGTGGCATTTGTTACTGCTGGTACTGGAACACTCCATCCTTAAATATTACCAACTAAAATCCACACTAAATGAAATCACATCAGCAAGAAGAGTCTAGGTTACATTATATTGACCATCCTTAAAATCACCGGCTCAGGATGGGCACAATGACTCTCAGCTATAATCTCAATATTTAGGAGATAGGAGGATTACCTTAAGTTTCAGGCCAGCCTAGGCTACATGAGACCCTGTCTCAGAAAAAAGTCAAGCAAAATCCAGATGTAGTGGCATGCACTGTTAATCCCAACACTTGTGTGCCTGAGACAGGTGGGTCGCTGTGGTCCTGACACCCAGGCCTTGACATTAGACCTTTCCCATGTCCAGGTACCAAGAAATTTTCTATCATTTTTCTGTTGCTCTTCTACAGCTCCAGTGGACCTTCACCGGTGCCCTGCAGAAAATGTAAATCACCTAATTGAATTTCTAGAGAGAAGAATCACAATCTGGGAAGTTAAAAAAATAAAAATAAAATTTC